ATAATTGGAAGTAATTTGTAGAAGTGACATAATACAGGAAAGTATACTGATATTGAATCAAGCTTTTATTCTGTTTTTTTTGCAGGGAAGCACTTTTAAGAAAACAAATATTACTACACATAATAAATTACTCATAGTAAGATTGTTAAATGCTCACTTCTCCAGCGCCCAAAAATAAGAATGTATGGTCAGCCAAGTTTCCTCCCAGTGGCTTCAAAGAGGCAATGAGCCCAGCGAGAACCACAGAGGCAGTACCCTGCACCCAAAACAAGGGGTTTTACATTAGTTGAAACTTCTAAAAGATATTACACGATGTTAAGGCACAAGAACTTTCATCACCTGTATGTCGTCATTGAAGACAAGGTGAGTTTTGCGGTATTTCTCCAGCAGTTCAAAGGCATTATGGTTGGCAAAATCTTCAAACTGCATGAATGTCATAATAACAATAGAGGTTTAGTTTTCTTGGGAAAAAAATGTTTATTGTACTTTGAGGCTCACAACTTGTGACTGACCTGTACGAGGATTTTCTCGCCATAGTTCTGCTTAACTGCAGACATAAATTCCTGAACAAACTCAGCATATTCCTTCCCTGTAGCCCTATTTTGCTTCAGACCAATGTAAAATTCGTCGTTCAATAGCTTCTCATTATTTGTGCCAACATCAAGGGTTATAGGCAAGCACTGCAAAGGAAGAAGATAACAAAAACATATAGTTAGATCTTGGACATAATAGTATGCCTTTATGTATCCAGATGAACTAATAGTCAATGCAGATTACATGCTTCACATTAAGAAAACATAAAGTGATTACAATACAAGAACTTTTCAATTGCTTACTGCTGAAGGGCGAACTCCACCAAGTGCTGTGTACAAGGAAAGTTTTCCAACAGGTATGCCCATTCCCTAAACAAAGAAAGTTTGTCTTATCAATCATGAGTCTAACAGAGAAATCAAGGTAGAGTGGAGGGAAGTTAAAAAGGAATGTCAGAGACTTAACAAGGAAGCAGACTAAACATGCTCCATACCTGGCAACCAAGGTCTCCTAGTCCAAGGATACGCTCACCATCTGTAACCACGAGAACTTGAATATTCTTTTCAGGCCAGTTCTTCAAAATCTCAAGAATTTTTCCCCTGAAACACAAAAGGACATCAAATTCCAACTTCTGAAAACATGGATACAAACCGAGCATTCATTTTCTATCCAAAAAAGCAATAAAGGAAATTGACGAGAATGTTCCAGAAAACATACTTATCCTTCAAACTGATGAAAAGACCTTGAGGGCGTCTAAAGATACTTCCATACTTTTGGCAAGCCTCGCCAACAGTTGGAGTGTACACAAGTGGTAACAATTCTTCAACATGGTCAATAAGAAGCTTATAAAACAATTTCTCATTCCTCTCCTGTAAAAAATACAGCATCTGCAGATCAGTATCATGCAACACGTACATCTCACTATAGCATTTTGCCAACTGATGCCTATTCAATATAACTTTTGAAATTATTATAGTATATTATATGATTTTCATCAAATTTAATCACTTATGATTTATGAAATTAGTGGCTGTGAGGTCTGTCAGTAGTTCAAAACTCCAAATGGTACAACATATACTGTCCTGTAAGCCATGATCATTACAATTGTAGCTCCCCAGCTCCAGAAAGTACACATATAATTCTCAAATTCACATCAGATTATTGGCTTATACTAATCTTAAGTAGAAGCAGTACGTGTAAAAATAACCTGAACTGACAAAATAGCGGCAAACAGTAACAAATTTTGTAATTGTCAAACATAGATATACCTGAAGATCCATCATAGCAATGTATTTCTGCAAAGGAGCTTCATACTGTCTAAGGGTTGCCAAAAACTTCTTCGCCTGATGTTCAAAAAAGCGCGATTAAGAACTACTCTAAAGCGAAAAAAAGCTTAAACAAATTTGACATCCAAACAAGGTTCAGTGATTTAACCTGAAGCTCCTGAGACAGGCATGCAGGTGGTAATAAACCACGCAAGTAGTGAGCATCTCTTTCTTTCTCTGTAAAAGCAAGCCCTTTGTTGTGGTGGGGATCCCTCAGCAATGTATACCCACTGCAATAACAGTACTTGATTAATATATATGATCATGACTAATCTTTTCGGCTTTTTCGCAATCGAAAACATCCAAAGAGTTCCAACACATGCCTTAGGAAAATTCCTATTACATTATTCAATCTAATACAGGTATAATGCAGAAGTCTTGACTTAAAGAACCTCCAAGAACTAGTTAATCCATAAATCTTTAAATTCAGGAAATAATTCCTCAACCTCTATTTCTTTATAATCAAGAAAATTCTTCATAATATATTATGACTAATCCATAATTTCCTTTTTTGATCTTACAATCAGACATAACATGAACACAACAATGCAAAAAACCCATTTCATATACTAGTACACATATTTTTTTTCAGTAGTTACTTCGAGTTTAACCATTTTACAAGAAAGAAAACCCATATTATGATGCATTTAAACCAATACGTAAAAGATCAAAATACAACCATGACTACATAGCTAGAAACAAAAACATCAACAATACTCAAAACCCGAGATCAAAACCCATCTACATAACATACAATAAAACAAACAAGAAAGGACAATAAATGTAACAATCACCTAGCAACATTTACTACCATAGTACCATGACAAAATTACTAGAAACAATAAAATCAACAGTACTCAAGACCCGAGATCAAAACCCGTCTATGTAACATAACATAAATGTAACAATCACCTGGCAACAGATACTGTCCAAGGAGTGATATGTTGAGCCTCGGTGGCAGAATCCTCACCATACACATCCTTAACACCCCCACCAACACCGTTGGATCCTTGAGTCATCTCATCCAGTGCATTACCAGTACTCATAATTCCTCTAATAACCTTTTTCTCTCTCTCTCCTTTGACCTTCAAATTGACCAATAATCTCTGCAACAAAAACAAAAAATGGCACAAAAACTAACAAACCCAGAAAATCAATGAAACCCAGAAAGATACAAATGGTTCCTTTTGCTGCAGAAAACGTGGGTTATTTTTATAAGCAAATTTAGAAATGTGAACAAGGGTAGAATTAGAATTTTTTATTTTACAAAAAAAAAAAAAAAAAAAAAAAAAAAAAAAAAAAAAAAGGGTTTGATTTGTCTTAGGACTAAGATTTGGAATAAAGATAAAGCTAAAACGTGGCTTAATAAATTTGATTAAATAATTGTAAAAGTAAATGAGAATTACCAAGAAATGTGGTCTGTTTCTATTGAGTGACATCATTATTACAGTATTTTTGGGTAATTAGTAGAGGAATTTGATTTGGGTGATGCAAGAGGAAGGTGTTTACTGAGTAAAGTCAACTTTCTTTTATTGGAAGGTCAAAAGAGAGAGAAAAGTTTTTGTGAGAAATACGCGTATGTTGTTGGTGAACCATGACTGGACTGCACTTTTAATTATAAAATGGTATGCTCATACTAGAAGTCTACAAATGTAGAATTTGTGGAATTCAAATATGTTCATACATTATGTCTAAATTTAGATGCTATATTTGTAAAAATATTACTCAAATGAGAAAAGAATCAAATTACAATATAAATGTTAGAATCATAGCGCTAATGTTACTTAAATTAATTTTGTATGTTGAATTGGACTTTACTAGTTAATTAAATCTAGATTTACCAATTCATTTGACCCACTTTGATGATATGCATTTGTTAGATTGATGTGATATAATTTTTATGAAATGAGTTTATCTTATGTTTGCGACTATACTTTTGTATATTCAATCTGACTATCATAAATATATGTCAATAATTTTAAAAGATATGGGAATATAACAACCTTGCATTTGGATATAATACATGACTAATACATTTACTCGTCTATATACTATTAAATTATATCCTGATGTCATTCCATTTTCTTGCAAATACTTCCTAACGATTTCCGTAAAAAAAAAAAAAAACTTCCTATTACATTGATTAGTGTAAATTAATGCAAGGTGTTGTTAACGGGTGAGGTTGGGGTTAAAACCCTAGGGGTTGATCAACATTTTAGACAATTAATATAGTTAATTAAATACGGAGTGTTCTTAAAAATAAATAAATAAACAAATTAAATACGAGTAGGGAGTACTAATCGATATTGAAGGAATTTAATGAATAGATGTTTATCAACATTTTAGACAATTAATAGAGTTAATTAAATATGGAGTAGGGAGTACTAATCGAGACATTAAGAAGTTTTGTTAACAAAAATTGTACTATGGAGTACTATTTTATTTATTATTTTTTTTTTAGAAACCAAACTGCGAAAATTATTAAAGGAGGTTAATTTCCGCTACAGACTACAGTAATCAAGCTTTGGGGAAAAGGACCAAGGGAAACAAATTTATTAAAACCTCTAGTATCCCATCTAGCAACATGATGGGCTAGAGTCTAGACATCATAATTAAGGGTAATTTTGAAGCAAAATTTCCAAAAGTATAATGAAAAAAAAAATCTGAATGATGGAATATTTTTTTATTACATCAAAATACATTACGAGTAATAAACTAATCTTGTGAATGAAAACGAGGACATGAAAAGATATTGAATACGAAAGGCACGAGGAACTCAATTCCCTCGAGCCGCCCGTGGATCGCACCGTACTACCAGCAAGGCAGCAAGGAGCCAAGGACGATGCTTGTTTTCCGCTATTACTGCCCTTGATTTCTCTTGCACGCTGCAGCAGCCTGTTAAACAATTACAGTACGATCGAAAGTCGAGGAGTTGATTAGCCACATTGCCAATTACTTGCATCCCATCATTCGCACAAAAAAGAGTCAGACTAAAGTTATACAAGTACTTCCTTCGAGCTTTCAAGATCATACAATGTGTCTCAGCATATCTTTTCAAAATAGCAACTTAAATATTTAAAGCCATAAATGATTGAAAGAAAGCGAAGACAAACTTACAAAAAGATTGCAACTATTCAAGTACTCTTAATCTGCAAAAAGAATTCTGGTATTGAATTTTATTCAATTACCCAGTAAATATTTCTGGTTATACGAAAGCTATATAAAGATCCGGTTTTACTCATCTTTATGACCATCCATACAGGCGAAAAAAAACACTTCAGCAATCCCTAATAATCTCTGATTCTAGGACAGCTTCTCCAAAAGTCATCACACCGTCCTCCAAGGTTTCTTTGCTGTAGTTCATTCAGCATTAATGAAACCAACTTGTGCACATGATATATCGTTTGAGTTCTTACAAGCAACATACACAGCAAACAAAGCTACAAGAAAGAGCTACTCTATAGACTGTAGTCTATACAATCTCATATGTACTTCTAGATGCCTGTCCTACACAGGAAAATCTATCGATAGCTTAGTCTCATTTGTTCGAATAGACACCTATTCTCCCAAACAAGACTATGGCATGGGAGCAAATACAAGTACAAGTACATATAACAGATTCAAGAAGCAATTACACTCTTATCGCATGTCATCTGCAACCTGAGAACTCCGAACTCCCCAGAAAGTTTTTGGCTTCAACTTCTTGTTTGTGGCAGTAAAGAGCCAACCCATGTGACTCTCACATGTAGCACAGTTGGCAATGGTCCATTTATATCTGTAAAACATACATGAACAAAGAGCTTATATACGTAGTATAATTAATGCTAAAGGATATTACTTCCACTTCACTCCTATGGTACCTCTCAAGCATAATAGCATACAAACCGAAACATATAATTTGGCAGAAGTACTAACAATGAATAGCATACCCTGGAAACCAGCTGTATTCTTCTCTTGGTCGGCCAATCAGCGCCAAACCATTGGCTTTGTAAAGAGTCATTATCTCATGCACAAAGCCATTCGGGTTAACATATGCACCAAGAGGGCCTTCATTAGACATCACCAGCATATCACTTCGCCTGGCAATTACAGTCTGTAACAAGGCAAGAAGAGCCAGAATCATATTAGTCAAGATATTACGCAATTTACTCATCATGACAAATACATCTTTTAGCACAATAAGTAAGAAACATCAAAAGCAACGTGCATGGTATAGCTGCATTTTAGTTTCTGTAGTAATGGGTAAAATCGATAATGACGGTGGAGGTTCTTATTATCTGAATCAAGAACTTTAGGTACCCAGTGCCAGTCTCATAACAAACTATTAGCTAAGGCCTAAGGACACAGCTCCCTACCCTCAGTCCTTCCTTTTTCCTTCAACTAAAAGACGAAAAAGGTTGACAAGAAAAAAAAAGGCTGGAAATTTTAGTAATTCAATAATACCTGACAGTTTTTACACCTTACACGATCAAAACCTTCAAGAAGTTCAATTTCTCGACGTAATCTATAGGAGACTCCATTAATTTCTAGCAGCTCCTGTCTTGTAGACTCGGATATAGGAATTTTACTGGCAATGTAAAATGACAAGATATCAGGCTTTCTAACAAACCCATCCATACTAGGCGCTCCAACAACCTGCTTCCACATATCTGCAAAACAAACGGAAGCACCCTTGTAAGAAACTGCAATGCACCTTCAACATAACCTACTAGATTTCCTCACCTTCACATCAAAACGCTAAGTCTCAAAAGTCAAAACTAAAATTTCAGAACGAATGGCCCTCATTATACTTCCATAAGAGCAGTGTTAAGTCATAGAAGCTAGCACTATTACACAAGGATGCATTTATGAACCTTTTACTTTAGTGGGAATGAAACTTGTAGTTGACTCAGCCTAAAAGTCTGCCACAGTATCATAGAAAATATTTCACATGAGTGAGGAACCATTTGACATTGGGTAATCATATTGAGAATGCCAGCACAAGGATCAGACCTTCAGGAAAATAAAATTGGGAATGGAAATTCATTCCCTTGCTACTTTAAGCTTTATTTATATTGGGTACTAGTTCTCCCTAAATTTCCACACATTCCAATACCACCTTATAGTTATAGAAATTGAAGCTCAATACACAAAATTCATCACCCACAATCTTATAATAAGACTTGCAGTTGTAAAAAAGCTTTCACAAATTACAACAGCTAGAAAAACAAATTTTCGTATATACTTTGCTATACCTGCAGAGCATGACAGCCCTCACAGTGTCAACAAGAGATACACTGAAGAACTACAGTAAAATGCATTACATAACCATCTTTCACTATGAAACAATATCAACGCACAGCCAAGGCTATTCATTCACCAAATATCTGATCTAGGACAGAAATGTGCAGAAACTTTTTGTAGATTACAGATATCAGGATTTTTGAGATTTTAATTGAAGGAGAGGGAGTGCCACCAAATATATGGACAAAGACAGTAATTTACAGGAACTTTTTGCAGATTACAGCCTTTACAGGCATCAGGTTTTTGAGAGAGAGAGAGAGAGAGTACCTGCTGCCTTTTGAGCAAGAGTGAAAGAGTCGTACATCTGGTAAACCCAGTATGGCAAAAATGCTCTGGGAACTGCACGGAACTGATTCAAATTGGCAGACATTCCTCTCTTCCCCCATGCAACTCCTTTCTGAGGTGATTGGTTAATTTCACCTTTGTTTGAAACTCCTGAGGTAGCATCTATTCTCCTTCGACACTTTGATTGTGATGAACCATCACTTGATTTAGATTGTCCAGAGTGAAGCTCTGATTCACAAACATATTTATCATCATCACTGCTTGTTGACTCGTCAATCGTATCATATGCACAACACGACTCAACAGCATTTTGATGCAATCTCATCTCTGAAATTGAAAGCTCATTCAGATAACTTTCCTCCGACTCTGCATCAGAGCAATTGCTTTCAACTGCATCTCTATGTCTCTTAGCCTGATTATGAGATTTTGTAGCATCAGAAAAGCTCGGGCTACTAAGGTTCCTCAATGGCGGTAAGGTTCCAAATGCATCACGTGGGGTCCTCAAAGGCAAGTCTTCTTCAATGACCTCAATCTCTCCACAAGGCTAAAGACACAAATTTATTTGTCAAATTAACCCCTCAAAGCGAGTTTAATAGCATGACAGTAGTGGCATTATAGTAATACAACATTAGATTTGTTCTTACAGCTCCATCAGTATCGATCCAATGGCGTCTAACATGGAAACGCTGCTTTCCACGAGTAACTACGTTGACGGATCCATCCTCCAAACGACGATATTGTCGAATCTGAATCAGTGGTAACAGGATTTAGAATTAAGTAATTTATGATCAATGTAGGCTACACATAGGGTACTAGATGTACCCTATTTTATTTTTATTTATTTTTATACTGAGCATGGCTTCTCCAACTGATGACCACTGTCACATATCTAGCCATATCACATGTCTGGCCAAAACCTCTCATAGGAGTGTAATGGAGCCACAAGGGTTATAGCATGTAGGTATATTTTGCAAGTGAGAATAAACTCAAAAAATAACAGTCTACTCACACATATAATCTTTTGACATAGTAAAATAAGAAATAGATACTAGTTGTAAGAACTTGAGCTAAATAGATAAAGAAACTATCACCCACATACAGATCAGCTCAAGTTTATCACAATTTGGGAAAAGTTTAACAGCAAATAACTGCATTCAGGTTCAGGCTTACAAACTTTTTGTTCTGATTATTGTTGAAATATTATGAACCATATGACAACTTTCTCCTTGGCTAACTTGAAGTGAATGTCAATATATAACATACTAAAGGAAAAGTGTTTAATTCCAACACAAATTTAGTTATTTTTAACACTAAAATGATTCAATATGAAATTTCCCAAACTAAATATGAAACAATCCACATCCATATTATTATAAGTTTTCTCATCACTGATCAGACACCAGCACACAATTTAAGTTATCTTAGAGGATTTAACTAGCCAATTACTCCCTCCGTTTCATAATTTTCCCACTTCCTATAGCAACACTTGCCAAGGAAACAAGGAGAATATGTGATTGCAAGTGAGTATGGATTTAATGAGTCAAACAAGTGGGGTAAAAGAGGGTAGAAGGAGAAAAATCCTTTATAAAACAAGGATAATAAAGGCCACAATTTCAATTTAGTTCATTTCAATATTAAAGGCCGCTTCAAGATTGCGTGAATTAAATTTTGAACATTCTCAATTTCCCATATTACCTTTAATATTACATTTATACATGTATAAGAACTTCAATAAAAATACAACCATGGAATGGTGATTTGGTGAAGATGCAATAAATTTAAATGGCAAAAGATAGTATTTTTAAGTATATATCTTCAAAATAATCTGAAATCAAAAGTGCCCCATTATTTAGGAGCAAAACAAGAAGAAGCATTTTCACAAAGTTTGTTATGTGTAAACACATGGGGTAGTAAAGCCAAGAATAAAGGAAGGGGAGCACTAGTTTGAAACCTTTGAATAAGTAGTAACGCATCTATTTCGCAATGAAGAAGAAGAAGCTTAAACTAATAAATGAAGTGCTAAAAACGTAAATCTGCACATTCGTTAAAAAATCAGTGAGCATAATTGTAGTCAGTTTCATATGTAAATTAAAGACTAATATCTTATTCAGCTATTCAGTCATGACAATATTCATGATATAAGCAGCTCTGTAAAATTAGAAATAATACCTCTGCAGTAGTCCCAACAGCTGAAAACCTTAACCTTCCAAAATCAAGGTCTCTAAAAACACGAACCTGAGCAATATAGCATAAATTGCTCAAAAAATCTTAAATTAAGGATAAAATTCCTGACAAAGATGCATGGCAAGTAGTTTACGTACCACACCTATGGTATAAGGGGAGTCAATCTGACCCATTGCTCTTTCTACAGCTACTATAAAATTCGGCTGTATGATTCTTAAAGGAAGAGTTGCCTCTGGGAACAGTACTACACCTGGACAACATATGTTTAAGAGGGGGGGGGGGGAAATCAATTCACCTTGTATCAAAAATCAAAATAAAACATTAAGAGATTTAGAAAGATTAAGCAAGACTTCAATTGAGATATATTGCCAAATTGGGACTTAATTAAAGAATAATTGATACAAAAACCTTCAAGATAAAAAAGAGGGAGAGTCAAAATGGCGCCAGTATCAACAAAAGCTGTCCTGTGATGAGTGTCTTCCACCTCTGCAACAGTATGCACAATCAGACAATTTTATTTCACATAAACAAGAACTTATATAAGGGTGTAAATGCTACTTATGCCTACCGCCCAAATAGGTATGCAATGACGCCAGACAAGTGTCAAATGTAAATTCACCCAACCTGCCATGAGCATAAACACTGGAGTAAGAGAAAGAACATTCAAAACAAGGAGTTAGAGACTTAAGAGGCTAAGAATTAAAAATAAAAGAAGTCATATTTCGTAGCTTTATAAGCTACGCAAGTACAGAACATATTGAATCCTTTTCTGATTTTTCATACTGGATGGACTATGATAGTCATCATTTCTGACTTTCAGCCATCAATAATTCCCTCTCACGCAGCAAGGCCAGCATACCAACACACATCAAGGCCAAATAATAAAATACTAGTATATGAATTTGCAAGTACTGTTATTTTCACGCAACCTCAGGTGTAGAAGAATAAAGATTTCAGTCTGCATAGAAGTATGGGAAAATAAATTGCATCAAACAGTAATAGATATCAACGGTCACTCTTTGTAAGTGCAACTGCTTGATATTTTTTCAACTCCCTCACAAAGCAAGGCCAGCATACCACATCTGCCCCAAGGGAAAGAAAGAGAAGGAAGGGAAGGATATAAGAAAGAACAGGGCTTTCGGAAGACTGTATAAACAACCATCAAGCCACATCAAAACTGCAGCATAAAAGAAAAGGTGGGTGAAGGAGAAACTCACCATATTTGACAGCAAAAAAGCACTCCACTCAGTTTGCAAATCCCAACCAAACAAAGGCTCAATTATAAGGTTCTTAATTTAGCATATTTCTCTTTGAGTTGAAAGATCTAGGATTTTGCCACTTGAACCAAAGATATGGAGATAACGCTTGCTTAGGGTGCCTCTCACGCAATTTGGGAATTGACTTAGACCAGAATCAATTGGAATACTTAAGGCCAGCTCGCGAGTCAAATAAACCCAGGAGTTGAGTTGGATTTTTAAAGTATAGAAGGTTGCAAATGGCCCACATTTTAGATGATCTTACATGAGGCGGATCTAGGATCATTATGAGGGGGATCTAGGATCATTAAATTGGTGGGGCACTAACTAATTCCCAATTTAATGAATGCCTCATTTTATCTTCTATTATTTTTTTTATAAGTAACAAATTATTAAAAACGGTGGGGAGAGTGTCACCCAAACCTCTCACTAGATCCGCCTATACTCCCACCCACTAGTGGTGGCAGTAAGTAATGGTGATTTCACTTTTTAAACATCAAATTTTGAAAATTTCAAAACATATTTGCACCTAATGGGTTCCCTAAGTACATAATAAGAAGATGTAAAATCAGAAAACCAAATAGGTAAGGGAAACTACCGAATATGAAAGTGTGATGTAAACGTTGACCTACAAAGTGCTAGTCTTTTTTTTTTTTTTTTTTTTTCTTGATACTAGGCTAGCTGATTATATAGTCTGGATCTTTATAAGGTATATTAGTAGGTTAAAACACATTCAGAAGCTTTAGGATTCTGAGTTAATTATGGGGAAAATTTATAGGTGCAGTCACTTGCATCATCCTTTCCCTTCCGTACTAGTCGAGTAAAAAATCTCAACATTTGAGAGACACTGGAGACTCCAATTCTGAGGAACTCTTCATTGGCAAGAGAACCATCAATTTCCTGATAAATCAAAAACTTATCTTTCTTTTTCACCTTTAGGCACAGGCATGCCTATCTCATGGGTGGTTCAAGATCGACTGATGCCTCTATTTACTAGACCTAAAGGTAGTTTACTTACTCAATAGAGTATGGAACAAAACAAGCAAGGATGTAAGAAACAATCATATTTCAACTAAGATCCAATTTGTCAAAGGGTGGTCTTTGTTGGGATGCAGCTATGCTTGGATTGCTTGCTAACGCTTTCACTTTGACATTAACCTTTCAGCATCAGTCACTTTGATCTTCTCAAACCAAGCAATGATCCTAGTCCCTATCCTTATATGTGACCTGCCATTTTACAGCATAGGCTCCATTACATAGTGTGATCACTAGCTTGGGTGTAGACCATTGTGTTTAACAAATCATAGACAATAAACAATCTCAAAGATAATTATCATTTGTTCATGACAGTTGCCTAAGAAGTAAGCGCTTGTCTAAATGAATAACCTTGAGCTCCTCATAGTCTATCTATTACCACGATGCTACAATGCTCCTCCACAACGGAGATGATTGTATCAAGCAAACCACAACCAAGGTAAAATAGTAAAACACAGAGGATCACCTTTTCATAGCAAACTACTTCTAGGTTTCCCACTGCAAAATAGAGAAACTTGAGCCCAATCCCTAATGTCTTCAAAATCTTGTTTAAATGTTTCCAATTTACTAGCTTAGACTTTATTGAGATCTAAAATAAAATGGGCACTATTCTACCTCATCCCTTAGCATCCTCTGGCCTCTGCCACACTAAAAAATTAGGAAAATAGAGCTTCACTACAAAGGGAATAGTATTGAGGGGGAACTTTCCTAATAGTGCGGCAAAGAAATTAAACGGACTGATTCATTAACGGCTTTACCTCAAGAGTGACCTACCTTACAAAAAATGGGTTCTGAAATGCATATCTAATCGTAATAACCATCTATTTCTCATATATTCTAGGAAACCAATATAAGAGAATAGTTTGTAATTGTCACCAAATATTTCATAGCTAGTGGCTACAAAAGAAAACACCACCTTCTTAACCAACGTGTTTCCAAATCCAGTCCTGATCATCTTCATTAAATTGTATATTTGTTTTTAAAAGATAGGGTGTCATCCCAAACCTTTGAACATAAGAGAATCAAATATCCTCTATAAGAAAAGGTCTTATTGAAAGTGGGAATCACATCAGAAAAAAACATGATTATCTTTAGCGACCTTATCATCCTCACTTACAAATTGATATCATTTCACAGCTTTCTACCATAGATTATTTTAAAGAGGAACTCATAAACAATGTCACATCCTCATCCCACTAAACAAAATATTCTCTCAAACTTAACCGTTATTATTCATCAATTCCACCAATTTGCTCTTAAGTTTGACCCACTCCCTAATTAAGCTCCTCATCCCCCAAATCCTCACTCTCTACTTCTCTAGCTTATTAAATTCACTACTCTCCTTTATAACATATATTCTCTTAACTAGAATATTTTAGGCGAGTTTCACGATACAACTAAACACAATATACCATATTACATCATTCATCAGTTCCATGTCCACACTCATTGAAAACTAAAAACCCAGTTTCATTCTCCTTAAGTTGCATACTAACTAGTAACTACTTTCATTAATCTGTTAAGAGTTTTAACATTATTACGCAAACAGGTTTCACCAATAACTCGACAAACATATACTGCTCAGCATTGTCATGTCCTATTGAAATGTGGATTATTCAGCTAACTGGCATTCATAAATCCCTATAAGTTTAGCTAGTTTTCCAGACATTCGACAACTAAACTAATTGAGCACAAAAACCATATAGAAACCCTAAAAGCCACAAAAATCAGCAATTAAACAAAGGTGAAATGATCAAAATCAAGGGCAAAACACCAATTTAAACATTAAAACAAAACAAATAAAGAAATCAAATTGAGTAGCAGCGAAAAAATTTATCAAATTGAAAATCGAAAAATTACATAGCATGATCATCATCGGAGTCCTCGGGTAAACCTTCGACTTCTTCAATCTGCAATTCTTCATCATCGAGCTCCCGGATTTGCTCAATTTGGTACCTTTCTCTCTCCAAAATGCTGTTTTCGTCCATTGAAATTAGGGTTTTAGAGCTTGAATTTGTGATTAATTTGGGAGTGAGGAAGAGTTATTTATGTTGTAAGAGTATTTCTTTATTTATTTATTGAAGAAATGATAAAATCCTGAAGAAACCCAGATTTTGTAATTTTCCAGATACGTCGTTCACCTTTATTTTGCTTTCGACAAATGTACTCGGTAATTTATTTGATCTAATAAGGGTTCAATACCTCTCCCTCCTTTTGCTACTTTTGGTGTAACAACTAAATACTTGAGGTGGGGCACTAGTGGCGGGTTCACTATGTACTCGGGTGAGCACTGTTTATGATGTGCATAAGTGCATTTGTCTTCATATATTAAGCTTTGTGCGTCAAAAGATAGTGTATAATACGAGAGATATATGCCGAGGGAGCTAGGTTGTATGAACCTCCGTAAGTTACCGAGTTGGGTGTATTAACCCATCTTTGAGAAATTTTTTTTCCTTTTTGTGCTAGACTTGATTTGATTTAAGGATTTTATTAGATAAATAGGAGAACAAATCTAGAGATGGTTGAGATTCACATTGTTTTACTTTTTCAAGAGATCCATTCTACATAGAGTTTAATCTATGTTGTGAATTTTTCTGCACCATGGGTGATGAATTCACAATGTGGAGCATGCTACCTTAACTCCATAAGAGCACATATAATTGTAGTCTTCATTCCACACTAAATGTCTTACCACTAAAATCATATCACATTTCTTGTTTTATTTTAAAAAGATCAAGATATATTGAATGACAAAAAAAAAAAAAAAAAAAAAAAAAATAAAAAATTAAGCTTTAATTTAGAGAAATTCAAGTCCTGTATTTGCACTATCTACTCATCTAATTTTTTATTTTTTTTTCTCGAGTTCATATAATTTATTAATAAAGAACATAATTTGCTCAAAACAAATTGATTTATTTATCTAAAAACTTAGATGTTTTCCCGACTTTATTTAAATTCTATGAAGTATTCTCTTGTGCTTTTGAGGGTTTACTAATGTTTCAAGACTTACCATTGGAGTATTAGAAGATTTGATGAGGACATATAGAGTAGTTGTGGACCTTATGGTGGCTTTGTAAGAAAATTAAAAATACAGTAAAAAAAAGTTTAGAACTTTAGGTCATGTTTGGCTCACTTCTTATTTTGAGTGAAATAAATTCAGATAACATACAATACATATATATATATTATAATAATGATTATACAAATTTAATTAACAACTAAAATGAATTGAGATTTTGTTAGATAAGTGAAAACGGAAAAATAAGGTGAGTTTATGACCTTTTACCCAAATTTAAGTCTATATGTCCTGTGCTTATTATTCAAAACCTATAAACAAGACAATAGCATTTAACTTTTCATGTAAATTAAGTCAATTTTATCGAGTCTAACTCAATACCCTCCCTATACGACTAATACGAGTAACTGGGAGAAGTCATCATGCTTGTATATCCAACTTTATCATCCGACAAAATCATTTTACTATGGTGTAAATCAAGTCAATTTTATCGGTTCTAATTCAATACCCTCCCTATACGAGTAATTGGGACAAGTCGTAACGCTTGTCTTTGCAACTTTATGTGAAACCATTTTACATCTGGTGTAAATTAAGTCAATTTTATCGGGTCTAACTCAACACTCTCCAAGTAAGTGGGACAGGTGGTATGCTGATGGCTTATACTTCCATGTACTTTCCGTCATCATGAGTCATGGACATTTGCCACCTCTGAAATTCGTGCATTGTTATCAAATTTGTACGATCCTCATATAATGGAAGTGTAATTGGTTACACCCAAAAATTGGTACGATCGAATGATGAAGATACCATAGTATTTAGAACAAGGGCACTCTATAAAACCCCATCACACCACCAATTACCCAGAGATTCTGGTCAAGTTTTGCTCTTTCTTCATCAAATTGTTCAGAAATCAACAACCCCATAAGGTATTTTCATTTATTTTTTCAAACTCACTTAATAATTTTATTAATAGATTGTTATAAAATGATGCAGAAAACTTCTTGAATTACTGGTTTTCATTTTCTGATTAATTTTGTTGATGATGGGTGCAATATTGGTTTTTTAATTGATGCGCTTTATAGTGAACATATATTTTGCTGTGAATTTTCTTAATTTGATTTTGTAATTTTGTTACAAATTTGTGACACATTATACTGGTATATTTTTGGATGTCGGCTAACTTAATTAGTACTCGTAAAATACTATTTGACACCCAATGTCGTGAGTCACGGACTTTGATTTAGGTTTATATGTTTAAAGGGGTTGTACAAGACGTGGATTCAACCTTAAAAAATTAACAATAATCAAAGCATTAATCTAAAGATAAGGTCGGCTGCATGAACCAAGAATTTATCTCCTTCTATCCTAATAAATCTATGTGGGATTTGAAGTTATGGTGAAGGATTTACAATGTAGAGTTATCTATTGTTTTTTTTTTTTTTACTCACTCCGTCCACTAGGATTATCCTACAGGCTAGTTACATAGACACGGGTACGTGTCCAAATGTCCGACTCGACTATTCGATTATTTTGTGAAATAATTGATAATTTCATGATTTTGAACTAAAAGTGGAGTGTTCAAGTGTCACTCCCATGTCCGAGTAGGGTGACATTTGACATGGGTATTTGAGGTAAAATGAAAGGGTGTAGGTAACATAGCCTGCATGGGAGAGTTTTATTTTCAAGGCTTGGTTGAAGTTTGGTGTGAAGGGTTCTTGTGCTGTTCATTTCCTAGCTGTGTATGGATATGAAATGTGGATTGTGGAGTAAACATACCAAGATTAGATGGGGCAAACTCAATGAAGCAACAATAAAGAATAATGGGGCACCCTTAGTGCGACGAAGGGAGTAGTATTACGGTATATAAAGAGGATCTTAGGGGACCATGGTACTGCACATTGTAGGAAAGATGTACGATCAAAATCATTCGGCTTCTAATTAATCAAATTGTCCTTTATAGTATGTGTCTATGTATAGAGTAGAATGAAGTAATGTAGGGAAGTAAAGGGAGAGGTGAATGAATGTTTCTTGGATGACCAAGTGATTAATGAAGAAGGGAATAATTGGAAGGAAAAGTCTAATATAGTACATGTAAAAATTTGTTCTAGCCCCTATATGTTTTTCGTACTGTGAATAGGACGATGCTGTGTAAATGATAATATGATAAATTAATCTTTACTTATAGACTTTGGGATTAATAGTGGATATAACAAAACATAAGGACTCATATTAGATGATAATTGGTTGATAGGACACTACTTTTATTTCGGGAGATATATTGATCAATGTATTGCAAGCTTGCAACTTTAATTACTCACCATTGTTTAAGGATCATGAATGTATATAGAGTTTGAGGCTTGAACTCGTTAGTAGAAATCGACTTTTCAGTTAAATACAACAATTTTGGCTAGAACAATTGAGAACCAGCTGTTACAAGCAATTGGGAGAATGCATGTTTTTTAGATTTTTTTTTCCCCCTTTTTATTTGAAAAAGTGAAGTTGCCAGGATATTCTTTAGTAGTTACCCTTAAATTAGGAGTAATCCTTTATCAAGTGCAGAACACTTCTGCTGCTGACTTATTACCAGTTTAGATGAGCAGACACCAATGGTAGCAGTTACCTGAGAGCTGCTACACTGTTTTCATTCCTTAAATTATATGTTTGGCAAGTTTGTAATAAAGTGAAGAACATGTAAGGGGATAAACAGCATGAACTTGGTGTCAGAAATCTTGTATTAAGCATGTATTTCACTTTATCCTTCTTTTGTTATGCCTCTAGCAAGTACTTGGGTTACTTCTTGGTGGGAGGAGCGGACTTTAGCTCAGATTTTAGTAAATTTTTATTTCATGGAATTTATAGACTTTGGATGACTGTTTGTGATCGAAGGAGGTTCTTGCATGGAAATTTGGCTGTTCCATTTCTTGCTCAATCATACCACTTTCAATCTGGATTTTGTTCCTTTTACCAAGGGTAGTTCTTTAGTGAACTGAGGTTTATATGGTGTCTGCTGGACAATTTAAGGATAGAGAAAAGAGAAAAGGAGGGTAAAGAAATCAGGACAACACAATGCTATCTGGTTGAATTGGGTTAACTGTTTCATTTTGATGCTTTATTAAGTGAGGGTAAAAATGTTATAGTCTTAGATCTCAGATATCTATCGTTTTGCCATTTAGAATTTTTTCCTGGAGAGGTTAGATAATATTATTTTGTGTTACCAAAATAGTCCAAAACTGCTCACTGTACCAAATACTACTTTTGGAATCGTAGTTCCAGGGTGGGTCGGGGGAAGAATTAGCAGACTGTGTAACATATAGGTTAGGTGGAAATTCTGTTCAGTCTTGAAATCAATATGAGGATGAGAGTTGAAGTTTGCTTGGCTATGTTTTTTTAATTCCATTCTATGGTACTAGCTTACCGAGTTATCTACTCTTCTGTGTACTCAGAAGAAGCTAACAAGTCGAGAAAGTAATACATAGTATTTATTAAGTTAATGTATATAATCCCCTTAAGTCTACATAAGTTCATCTCCATTAACTCCTCATTCGCATAGGTTTCCTGGTCCATAGTGGTCACATATTAGATAAGAGTAGACAAAGACATATGGAGTTACGTTTACGTACATAAATTTGTAATTTTATTATGTATTTAATTGATTGGTTAACATGCATTTATCATCCTTTAAAAGTGCCTACGAAAGAAGAATTTTGGGGCACAAAGGTTGATGAGGGGTATAATTCAAAAACTTTCTTGTAATGATACCAGAAGTTAACTTTTCATTCAGTATCATGGTTTTAATGTTAAGACTAGTCTTTGCAAAACAAAGTTTTCTTTCCTTTTCCATTTGACAGACTGTAATTAATTTACCTTTAGTTGTCGTTTTGGTGCAATTAAGCATACTGTGGTATGCATTATATCTTTTAGATTCTATATTCTGTGCTATAGTTGTGGAGGTCTTTCAATGGCTACTGAAAGATATTTCTAGATTGTTCTGCAGTGATTGTTCTTTTCACTTATTTTGTTAATTATTGGAATCTGCTGGTAGGAAAATATGGCATCGGAATATGTTTTTTTGATTGCATATCATGTTGTCACACATATATATAGTCCTTGTTTACTAATTTTGCCTAGCATTTACTATCTTGGTGAACTTTAATCAGTTTGAGATTTGAC